CATTACATTACATTACATTACATTACATTACATTACATTACATTACATTACATTACATTACATTACATTACATTACATTACATTACATTACATTACATACATACATACATACATACATACATACATACATTACATACATACATTACATTACATTACATTACATACATACATTACATACATTACATTACATTACATACATACATACATACATTACATACATACATACATACATACATACATACATACATACATACATACATACATACATACATACATACATTACATACATACATTACATTACATTACATTACATACATACATTACATTACATTACATTACATTACATTACATTACATTACATACATTACATTACATTACATTACATTACATTACATTACATTACATTACATTACATTACATTACATTACATTACATTACATTACATTACATTACATTACATTACATTACATTACATTACATTACATTACATTACATTACATTACATTACATTACATTACATTACATTACATTACATTACATTACATTACATTACATTACATTACATTACATTACATTACATTACATTACATTACATTACATTACATTACATTACATTACATAACATTACATTACATACATACATACATTACATTACATTACATTACATTACATTACATTACATTACATTACATTACATTACATTACATTACATTACACTACACTACATTACATTACATTACATTACATTACATTACATTACATTACATTACATTACATTACATTACATTACATTACATTACATTACATTACATTACATTACATTACATTACATTACATTACATTACATTACATTACATTACATTACATTACATTACATTACATTACATTACATTACATTACATTACATTACATTACATATTACATTACATACATACATACATACATACATACATACATACATACATACATACATACATACATACATACATACATACATACATACATACATACATACATACATACATACATACATACATACATACATACATACATACATACATACATACATACATTACATTACATTACATTACATTACATTACATTACATTACATTACATTACATTACATTACATTACATTACATTACATTACATTACATTACATTACATTACATTACATTACATTACATTACATTACATTACATTACATTACATTACATTACATTACATTACATACATACATACATACATACATACATACATTACATTACATTACATTACATTACATTACATTACATTACATTACATTACATTACATACATACATACATACATACATACATACATACATACATACATACATACATACATACATACATACATACATACGAGAGAGGGAGATTGGGGAGAGAGAGGCTTGGGGGGATGGGGAGGATGGGAGCAGAGGGAGGGAGACAGGACGACAGAACACACAAGGGAGACAAGGAAGAGAGGAAGAAGGAGAAAAGGGAGAGGACAATGTCGGCGGACTGAGCCGGAGGCTCTAAAGTTTTCAAGGAACATCGAAGAGCCCAAATGTTCAAAGAATGTCGAAGAGCCCAAATTTTGGAGAAACACCGAAGCGCCCAATTGGAGGAATCGAAGAGCCCAGTTGGAGGAACATCGAAGAGCCCAATTGGAGGAACATCGAAGAGCCCAATTGGAGGAACATCGAAGAGCCCAAATTCTCAGAGCCCAAATGTTGAAGGAACATCGAAAAGCCCAAATATTGGAGAAACACCGAAGCGCCCAATTGGAGGAACATCGAAGAGCCCAATTGGAGGAACATCGAAGAGCCCAATTGGAGGAACATCGAAGCGCCCAATTGGAGGAACATCGAAGCGCCCAATTGGAGGAACATCGAAGAGCCCAATTGGAGGAACATCGAAGAGCCCAAATTTTCAAGGAACATCGAAGAGCCCAAATGTTCAAAGAACGTCGAAGAGCCCAAATTTTGGAGAAACACCGAAGCGCCCAATCGGAGGAATCGAAGAGCCCAACGAAGAGCCCAATTGGAGGAACATCGAAGAGCCCAATTGCAGGAACATCGAAGAGCCCAATTGGAGGAACATCGAAGAGCCCAAATTCTCAGAGCCCAAATGTTGAAGGAACATCGAAAAGCCCAAATATTGGAGAAACACCGAAGCCCAATTGGAGGAACATCGAAGAGCCCAATTGGAGGAACACCGAAGCGCCCAATTGGAGGAACATCGAAGAGCCCAATTGGAGGAACACCGAAGCGCCCAATTGGAGGAACGTCGAAGAGCCCAATTGCAGAAACACCGAAGCGCCCAATTTGGAGGAACATCGAAGAGCCCAAATGTTCAAAGAACGTCGAAGAGCCAAATTTTGGAGAAACACCGAAGCGCCCAATTGGAGGAATCGAAGAGCCCAATTGGAGGAACATCGAAGAGCCCAATTGGAGGAACATCGAAGAGCCCAATTGGAGGAACATCGAAGAGCCCAAATTATCAGAGCCCAAATGTTGAAGGAACATGGAAAAGCCAAAATATTGGAAAAAAACACCGAAGCGCCCAATTGGAGGAACATCGAAGCGCCCAATTGGAGGAACATCGAAGAGCCCAATTGGAGGAACATCGAAGAGCCCAAATTTTCAAGGAACATCGAAGAGCCCAAATGTTCAAAGAACGTCGAAGAGCCCAAATTTTGGAGAAACACCGAAGAGCCCAAATATTGGAGAAACACCGAAGCGCCCAATTGGAGGAATCGAAGATCCCAATTGGAGGAACATCGAAGAGCCCAATTGGAGGAACATCGAAGAGCCCAAACTCTCAGAGCCCAAATGTTAAAGGAACATCGAAGAGCCCAAATATTGGAGAAACACCGAAGCGCCCAATTGGAGGAATCGAAGAGCCCAATTGGAGGAACATCGAAGAGCCCAATTGGAGGAACATCGAAGAGCCCAAACTTTCAAGGAACATCGAAGAGCCCAAATTCTCAGAGCCCAAATGTTGAAGGAACATCGAAGAGCCCAAATATTGGAGAAACACCGAAGCGCCCAATTGGAGGAACATCGAAGCGCCCAATTGGAGGAACATCGAAGAGCCCAATTGGAGGAACATCGAAGAGCCCAAATTTTCAAGGAACATCGAAGAGCACAAATGTTCAAAGAACGTCGAAGAGCCCAAATTTTGGAGAAACACCGAAGGGCCCAATTGGAGGAATCGAAGAGCCCAATTGGAGGAACATCGAAGAGCCCAATTGGAGCAACATCGAAGAGCCCAATTGCAGGAACATCGAAGAGCCCAAATTTTCAAGGAACATCGAAGAGCCCAAATGTTCAAAGAACGTCGAAGAGCCCAAATTTTGGAGAAACACCGAAGCGCCCAATTGGAGGAATCGAAGAGCCCAATTGGAGGAACATCGAAGAGCCCAATTGGAGGAACATCGAAGAGCCCCATTGGAGGAACATCGAAGAGCCCAAATTTTCAAGGAACATCGAAGAGCCCAAATGTTCAAAGAACATCGAAGAGCCCAAATTTTCAAGGAACATCGAAGAGCTCAAATGTTGAACGAACATCAAAGAGCCCAAATTTTGGAGAAACACCGACGCGCCCAATTGGAGAAACATCGAAGCGCCAATTGGAGGAACATCGAAGAGCCCAATTGGAGGAACATCGAAGCGCCCAATTGGAGGAACATCGAAGAGCCCAATTGGAGGAACGTCGAAGAGCCCAAATATTCGAGGAACATCGAAGAGCCCAATTGGAGAATTGAAGGAACATCGAAGAGCCCAACCGGAGGAACATCGAACAGCCCAATTGGAGGAACATCGAAGAGCCAAAATTTTCGAGGAACATCGATGAGCCCAATTGTTTGAGGAACATCGAAGAGCCCAAATGTTGAAGGAACATCAAAGAGCCCAAATTTTGGAGAAACACCGAAGAGCCCAATTGGAGGAACATCGAAGATCCCAATTGGAGAATTGGAGGAACATCGAAGAGCCCAAATATTCGAGGAACATCGAAGAGCCCAAATGTTGAAGGAACGTCGAAGAGCCCAAATTTTGGAAAACACCAAAGAGCCCAATTGGAGGAACATCGAAGAGCCGAATTAAAGAATTCGAGGAACATCGAAGAGCCCAACTGGAGGAACATCGAAGAGCCCAATTGGAGGAACATCGAAGAGCCCAATTGGAGAATTGGAGGAACATCGAGGAGCCCAAATTTTCGAGAAACACCGAAGAGCCCAATTGGAGGAACATCGAAGAGCCCAATTGGAGGAACATCGAAGAGCCAAAATGTTCGAGGAACATCGAAGAGCCCAAATTTTCGAGGAACAACGAAGAGCCCAAATGTTGAAGGAACATCAAAGTGCCTAAATTTTGGAGAAACACCGAAGCGCCCAATTGGAGGAACATCGAAGAGCCCAATTGGAGGAACATCGAAGAGCCCAATTGGAGGAACATCGAAGAGCCCAAATATTCGAGGAACATCGAAGAGCCCAAATTTTGGAGAAACACCGAAGCGCCCAATTGGAGGAACATCGAAGAGCCCAATTGGAGGAACATCGAAGAGCCCAATTGCAGGAACATCGAAGAGCCCAAATGTTGGAGGAACATCGAAGCGCCCAAATTTGAGGAACATCGAAGAGTCCAAATTTTGGAAAAAAAAAATGAGGAGCCCAAATTTTGGCAGAACATCGCAGAGCCCAATTTTTGGAGGAACATCGAAGAGGCCCAAATTTTGGAGGAACATTGAAGAGGTTTAAATCTTGGAGAAACATGGACGAGCCCAAATTTTGGAGGGACCTCGAAAAGCCCAAATCTTGGAGGAACATCGCAGAGATCAAATTTTGGAGGAACATCCAAGAGCCCCAGCAGCTGGGGTCTGGCGAGACGAAACTCACCGCCATGCTGGCAAATGGCAGTCAAAAAGGAGCTTGGTGTGTTGGCTGAACCTTAAAGCAAGAAGTGTCTCCGAGGTCAGTGCCGGCCAAGGGACTTTTGCCCTTTCATGGACTCGAAGTGAAAGTCCCCTGTCTTGACACCCGTTGCGTCAGCCACCTTCTGCCTCAGGCAAGTCGACAACAGCGGGCATGGCTTCTCGGTCTCAATCACATGGCACAACTCCTTGTTCTACCCCTTCCTTGCCCCTTCTTAGGTGTTAACATCATGCTGTGATCCATGTATTATGCTCAAGCGAGTTCTGAATCACGAGACATGGAGCCAACTTCAGGCTTCGGCGCAGACATGTCTTCCATTTGCAAACTACCCAACAACAGCCATGTGCAGCGCTCCCACCGTGGATAGAGTTCTTCGACGTGTAAAACCGCCTGGTGTTTTTTTCATTCACAGATGTGTTGCTTTGCTCAGACCCAGAGGATCTTTATAGACCGCATTTGCCAGGTTTCGTCGTGGAGACACCTGGCTTGAAGATAAATGGTATCATTCAAGGATTCGAGGAGATGCTTGCAACATCTACTGTCCGCAGCCCACTTCCTGCAATTCAGGCACCTCAGCGCCGACATAAATCTTAGCGCAGTGGGGATGCGACTCTATTGAGCCTGAGGCGCTTCAAATACTCGAATGTGGAAGGCATACTTGTCCACATGAAATATTCCTCAGAGTTCAAAGACTTTGGCAGTCTTGCAACAACTTCACACGCCCCCCTAACTCTGAGAGCTCAAAGCATGCCAACACGGCAGTATCCTCATAAACCCAGACTCATGCTCGCCATGACACATAGACCAAAACCCACACGAGTAGCAAGGCCAAACCGCGATCATTGGGCAAAGGCTCTTCTGCAAACACCTGACTCAAACTGGTACACATGAAGCAGCCTCACGCACCCACGTGCCTGCCCACCCACCCACTCACCCACCCAAACACACACACACACACCCTCACCCGCACACACCCATCCACCAACCCGCCCACACACTGAGTCACTATTTGTTCGGGCATCCCCGAGCCACTTAAGGCAAGAGCTCGCAAGGTTCAATCGCTAGGAGCCATGTGGGGTTCCCGCAACTGGTGGTAGAAGTCGAAGCCAGGGTGTTAATGAAAGGGACAACGTCATCGAAAAGTTCAAATCAAAGAACAAACAAGTTTCATCGGGCCATACCCAGATGCCAGACAAGTGTCGAACGGCTGGATGATCTCGAATTTCCTGCGCTCGGCGGCCTGGGCCAAGTCCTCCGGCGGCTGCACCAAGAAGGTGCCCACAAAATCCTGCGATCAACGGCCAGGCCAATTCGATTTTCGGAAAGTTGGGTATGCCGTCGGCTGGCTTACTCTTGTAAAAACCACTTGGCATATTGGAACGGCTTGTGCCACGCAGTATTTGTGCAATGCTCACAAGGATCTGCGATTGCTGGTCTCCATGAGGCTGCAAGAAAGAGCAAAAGCAGGTTCCCAGCTGCTATCTATGGGCGGCCCCTGGCATCACGCTTCAAGTGAATCCAATTTGGCCAAGTGTTGTGTTGTTAACACTGCCCCAGGTGTTTCTTGTGAACACAAGCAAGGGATGTACACTAGGAAGTGTTTAAGCCAGCCCCAACACAACACGCGCTGCTGAGAAGATCACGCATGTAACTGCACGGCTTCCGTGTCTGAAGGACATGTCATCAGCAAAAGGCCAACCAGTATCAAGGCTGCCACTCAGCCAACGGCTCCAGCGCCCCCCAGCCTGCCTGGCGCCATTCTTTGAACGCGTCTGTCCTGGTACCACAAACACTGCTGTGATTGGAGTGAAGCACCCGGCTGGTGGTGAAACACGGCCCTTTGCAAGACAACACGCTCCAAACCATTCAAGGAACGCCAGACTTTTGCCGCTGCCTTTCGCGCTCTCACACTCTGAGATGGCCACTGGCCAGCGGACTCTTCTAAGGCAGGTGCCGCTACGTGTTCAAACTGGCAAAGTACCCATCCCATGAACGCTCTAAACCAGAAACGTTCTCAGAGGGTGTTCCTGCAACATTCGGTCAGCCCCATGAATGGGCCATAGTGGGCTGAGGCCATTTTCGGGGAAGGTCCTGAACATCGGGACCCATTCAAGCCGGACACACTCACCATCCGAACAGGAGAAAGCTCGCAGGCGCAAACGCCAAAGGCGAAGGCCCGAGAAGCGGGTCCCGAAGTACTTGGCGCGTCTCCGCTGGATGCTGCTGTCTTTGGTGCCGCGGATGCCGTCCTCCATGTGAGTCGCAGAGATTAGATCTCCGCTGCCTGCACCGTGGCACCCGCACCCCCACGCACCTATCTGCTCAAGTCCCCCCCTTCATCGGCGATCTGAACTGGGACTGGATCAAACCACGATATCAAAATGCGACCCGCCTGTTTTTGACTGCCATCTGAGCCCTTGCAAAATAATCATGGGAGGCACGTGTGGTTTCCTCCGCAGGGAACGCTGCAAAGAAAGAGGGCGAAACAAGGCCTCCCGCTGCAATATGGGATCAGCTGTAGGGCGACCTCTTGTTAAACAAGACGTATCATCTGACAAGCTTCGAAGCCAAATCAAATTGGCTGACATCGCTCTCAACCAGCAAACCGGCAAACTGAACAAACTAGCAAGATCACACTCGGATTCTTGCAGTGCCAAATACGCGTTTGCAAACACTGAAGCAACACAATCCAACATACATGGGTATGGGTCAAAATTATACCACCTATTAGTCCTTGTTTCCTTTTCCAATTTCCGTTTTGGGCACCTATTTTTGACCCACACCCACATGAAGAAACTGAACTTGTAGACAACGTAGCGCCAGCCTCCACCTCCGTCTGCTTCCTCCTCAGCTTCTTCGGCCAGCGCGGCCAAAAGCTGCTCCTGTGCACGGCTGGCCAAAGCTGGCGCTGTCTGATGTGAAATCAACTGGAGCTGGGAGAGTGGCGACAAGAAAGATCTACATCTCTGGCAAAGAAAAGGTTGGCCAATGCGTGTGCGTAGCATGTCTGTTAACCACCCGTTTGTTTGGGTGTGTCTTAAAGTAGGAGGACCCCTAAAATTGGTGGTTGTCCTTTGGGTTTTCCTTTGAACCAACCTCAAAAAAGGGGTACCCCTCAACTCAAAAAAGGCAGAAACATGTTGCTCTCTCGGGACAGTGGCTCATTCCTCGAACACACAGCACTCTCACCATGTCAAGCACTGGCAAACAAATCTGCGCATCTGGAAAGCTGAATTACCACATCTAGCACCAAGAACATGCTGGGTGCACACCCACTGCTGCAAGAGTGTTGAGGCTAGAAATCAAATAGCGACATTCGCAAAAAGAAAAAAGAGTAGCAGGCTGAAGTTCCTTCAAAAGGTATTCCATGGAGTATGTGGCAGCTAGCAGCCAACATTATCCATTGAGATATGTGGCTCCTCGAGCTCGCGTTTCTTGTCAATCTTCTCGATTTGCTTCTTGTCCATCTGCCTTGGGCGCGCTTCTGCCAATGTGCTTGCCACAATTGGTCTCAAGGGGTGTGCTGTGGCTAAATGAAGCTTAGCACTGATATGACCTGTACGTGTGATGCTCTGCATGCTTCAAAACCTGTGCTGCTTCACGAGAGTCAACATGACGTCTGCCACCATCTACGAGCATGGCCCGTCATGTCGAGCATGTGTATCTAAAAAAAAAAAAATGATGTTCGTCAGGCTGACTCTACCATGCGCGTACGTTCAAGCAATTTGGATGGTCAATTTGGGGTTGCTTTCAATGTTCATCTCACAATCATTTATATAACCTGAAGCGGGCCATCTGCACATAATTGTAGCTGAGACTGACCACTAGAATGTCTCATCTGTAATGTGTTCTTTGAATGCAGCAACCATTCAACGTGGCACACGGAGGACATATTGAGCAGAGTAAGTCCCGAAGGCTGGACTGCAGCATCCCCCGTGAGGTAGCTCCGAAATGCTTGTGGTGTATTAGTGAGCTCGTTTGATCCATGCATGAACCCGACATGGAGCCATTGATTGCTGTCACATCAAAACCATTGCCCACTTCAGGTCCTGAGGAAAAGTTGCCACTCATCAATGCTTCGAAAAATTGATGCCCATTGCTCCGAGCTCAAACATGATGCTTGGCGAGGGGCATGCTCAAAAGTCATGTGGAGCATGACTGCATTCCCATCAGGCTTGACATGATTGAATATGTCTCAAACGGCACCAAGCTTTTCGCCGAGAAGCTCTCCCTTGCTGCGTTTGTCTTCCAGCTGTGCAATCTCTCGTAGCTTCTTCCTCAGCTCTTTTCCAAATCCCGTATTGACGCGCAATGGGCCATGATCCAAAGGAATCGTCTGGTCTGGAAAAGCGAACTAGCGGGGATGGGGAGGAAACGGAAATACAGGAGAATTCCCCTAAGATCATCTACCTTCAAACTACGTCTAGGTTCTTCAGGGAAATCCTCCCATATCCCTGCTTCCTTCACTTCCTGCTCACTTGTTTCTCTGCCCTCAAAACCCTAACTCAACATTGCCACAGCCAAAAAACTCTTGGGTCACGCTGAATACTTGTTCTGGATCCGAACTCCACACCCAACACCATCCAGAGGGAGTAAAGCGTAAGGATGGCAAGCAGGGCTGGGCTGGCAAAGGTGTTGCTCCGGATTGGCACAGTGTCGCCTGTTCCTTGGCGTGGGAAACCTGCGGGGAAGGTGGAGCTGTGAAATGAAGAATCACGCCACATGGCGAATCACAGTACTGCCCTGCACGTAACGCCGGGGGCACCTGAAACCAACATAACGGCGTCATAACGGTGGCATGTTTGGTGGGTGGACAAAACTCCCATGGCGCCCGCTTTCCCGGGCAAAGCCGAGATGAACGGCCAAGAATCTCCAGGCCCTTGCCCTTGCTCGACTGGGCTTTTCTCATGCCTGGCCAACAGGGCCCATGAGCTGACAGCCTGAGTCCTAGTTCAGGTCACTTCTCCAGTCCAACTGAGCGCATATGAGAGAGAGAGAGAGGCAACACATAAAGGAAAAACAGCAAAAAGGGGTGTGGAGGTGTGGGTATATGTAGGCGACCGTAAGCAAATTCATCAGCCTATAATCAAGTCAGTCGCCATGTATTGCGAGGCATGCCTTGCATCTCCTCGCCAAGGCGGCGCATGTAGATTCAGAAACTCACTTTTGCGCTTGGTCAAGACCAGAGGTCCCAGCTCCCGCAATGGCCTGCCGCCTCCGCAGGCTTCGGGTCGCCTGACTGGAAGGATCCAAGGCGAGAATGGCACAGTTCTCCACTGCAAACCGTATACACTGCTGACTCGGACGGCTGAGGCTTCTCGATTCCTCACGACACACTTCTCTGTTACTTCCACTTTGGAAGACAATTTTCCCCTGCCTGGCGCCGGCGGCGCCTCGGCCTCTGCCGCCTTTGCACCTGCCAGGCAAGCGGTCTTTCAACAGACAGCCCAGAAATACATCTCCAGGCTGGAAAAGTATGTTTCCCCCCTTAAATTGTACCAGCAATTGTCCAGAACCCGGAAATGCGGAAAACCCCGCATAAGACCAGGGAGAAAACCGGCTGAGTCAAAGCTCACGCCTACATCCTCTTGCCCGCATTCATCTGCCGGGCTTTGCGTGGCAGCTGGTGCCTAGGAGAAAGCTGGAAAGGCATGGGGCAAGAGAGGCCCCATGCATTGCGTAGCCTGACAGCTGTTCCTTACGAAAGGAGTGGCCGGTAAAACCAGACCGAGCGATCAAAAATCCGATGGCCACAAAGGTTGATTTGAATCAAGCGTGCAGACTGCCAAAACATGTCCGGTCCGGTCGCTTGCCGACATATCTGGGGGGATGGCTGGCTCAATCGAGACCTCGCCGGCCTCCAGCGCCTTAATCTCCTCCTGAGGGCGGCAACGCCGCCTTGAGCGGAGGACCCCAGAAGGCGCGATCTGGCAGCAAGAACCGCATCCAGCAGCCCAATGGACCAGTGGAAGACAAGGAAAGGGCAAGCTATATTTGGTGAGTACAACTCCACGCGTGCAAAAGCTATCTTTGAGATCACCTCAGGCATGAGAAACCCGCCGCAGTTGTTCTAGAGCCGTCCATTTTCACAAGTCATCATGTGTTTTGCTTGATCCTGCTCCTCGTTCGAAGCGCACCGCTGAAAAAACATTTTGTGCAAAGCATTGCATGTGCCGGGAGAGGTCTTACTTGTTCAACGCCTTCCTGGTAATACACAGCAAGAGAGGACAGGCGTTCACGAGAGCTCCATCCCTTGTCGCCTGGCGCCGCTCCTTCCGAACCCTCTCCCACCCCAATCCTCCGTACTGCACATATTCAGCAGCCTGCTTGTGACAAAGCCCGAAAAATGTTGAATCTGCGGCTGGCTCTCCTTGCGGAAACTGAGCAAGTTCGACTGTTCGCTTCCTGCTTGCTGGCTGGAATGACTTGTTTGAGCCCCATATAACTGAGCCGACTGAGCTTGAGTTGCGCCTAGAACAAACAAAACCCCACGTGTCCGAAACCTGAATGCACCAGCTTTCGTGGGGTAGGTGCGTGTGCGCTGCCTACCTGTTGCCTACCGCGAAATGTCCAAATGTCCAAGCAACCGCGAGTTACGTATAGGAGCATTTTCTTCGTCGTGGCTGTGCCTTCCAAGCCAGTATCCGCGAACTCAAATCTGGGAGGTTGTGTGGTGCGCTGATGTAAGCAAAGCAGGCGTCTCGATGCAAGGAGATGATTTTGCTCTCCAACTGCTATTCTCGCAGGTCAAGCCCACTATTTGTTTTCCCCCTGTTGTTTTAAAGGGAATCTATCGCTGCTGGGAGTTTCTCTCATTTTGTCCCAGGGGACATTTTTGCAAATGGATGGGGAGGGTCGTCTCAAAATCGGGGACCTTTCTGAATTGCTCTCTCAGAGTTGGCACAACTCCTGTAGCCCCAAGGTTCTCCCGTCAAACGATGCAGCGAAACACGTGCGAACGGCTGGTCCTCTAGCTTCTGCCGCCCAAGCAGCTTCTCTTTCTGCTCATCGTTCAGTTTCCTCAGTTCCAGGTGGTGTGACTTGTAGCCTGGCAGTATCCTATCCGCAAGGACCCTGTGGATAACTCACTGAATTCTGCTTCTTGAGTCCATAAAGCAGTTGCAGACTGAAGGGGGAAGCAAAATCAAGGACAACCGTTTGGCCTTACATGTTGCTAGGCAAAGGATGGCAAGGCACATTATCATGCCAAGAAAAGCAGACACGACAGAACTTGGGCCTCGCTGCGTCTGCGCCATTGAATGCCTGGACCCTCTTAGGACACGGACAACGCATCACGGCGGCAAGCTCATCATCAAAGACTGCTGTTCCACATATATGACATGATGGTTGCCTGGAAATTGAATCAAGCAAGATGCATCCATCCATGTTCCCGCAGTCAAAGGCTTGCTGCTCGACATTCAGGGCATCACCTACATTACCTGCAGACAAGCAATGAATTCTTGCAAGAGTCTTTCCTTCCCTCTCGTCCTTCTCCAGCTGTTCAATCTGGCCCAGCTTTTTCCTCAGCACAGACATCCCAGTACTGCCATAAAGCCTTTTGAAAACCAAGGCTGCTTGCTCAACCAGCCACCAAGGGTTATTAGAAGGGAGGCCCCGATAGTGATGCCGTCTTCGTTCACGAACACTGCAGAGGTAGTCATGCACCACTCACATTCCAGCCACAATGCAGCCAGTGTTGCTGGTGCTGCTGGCGGTGGGACGCTGCGTAAAATGCCAAGCACAATAATAAGAGCTTGAACAAGCGTTCGGTGAAAATAACAATCGTTGAGCATACATGCAGCAAACATCGTTGGTTCTGTGGCCTCGCATCAGTTTCATGCGTCCTCAATCCGTCGCAAACTGCGAAGTCCTGAACAGCAAATTCTTATTTAGCTCACCAGTGGGGCTACCCCTACCCACCATGCACCACAGTTGGAAGATCAAGCGCAACATATGTATGGCAGATCTCTCAAAGCCCCATCGAACAGAAATAAAGGCAAGAAAAAAACAAAATGGCTTCTGAAAAAGAAAAACAATGAAGCAGAGATGATTTCTTGGGCAAGGTACAGCCCGAACTCCCCGCATCCTGCCAGGGATATGTTCCTCAAACCTAGGATCAGTCATCAGTCACTTGACTCGCGGAAGGTCCACCCACGCGCACAGGTCATCCCCGTTGCCAGGCTATGACATGAAGTAGCCCGTTTACTTTGTTTTGCCAGCCAGGCTAACATTCCAATGAGTCGCCGCAGATTCTTGATCTTCTTCTCTGCCATCGGCCTGGGAGGCGCACTGTCAGATTCACATGCTAGGTTGGTGGCCTGCAGACCCCATATTCTAATCGATGAGATGGGCTCACAGCCGAAATGTCCATTGCAAAGATCGAAAAGGTCAAGCACAAACAGGTCACCACGACCTCTCTCTCTCTCTCTCTCTGTCCTCCGCCGGACTGGCTTACTTAGAGCAAGCAGTTCCCATCATGCAACCAAGTAACTGGGCGCCCCCGCCCTTGCCGTTTGCGGAGGTGAACGGCTCGTGGAGAGGCAGTCACAGACTAATTTTCCCGACAATGCCTCTGCGCAGGTTGTATGCCCTAGCAGCGATCAATTGAAATACATTCAGGTGAGTGCAACACTTGCTGAATGGCTATGGCCTTTGTTGTAAAAATGTCTCTGTTGTCTGTGCATGTCTCAGCTTAGCTTGTGCTTTGTTGTGTGAAGCCTCGGGGGTGCAAGCAGCCTGGCGCTTTGCAAAAAACGTACCCATGACACAAAGCGAAGCTGGCGTGTTTCTTCGCGGGGCTCGCAAAGTTCGGATAGAGAAGCAGTGCAAAAGAGCAGCTCGTGTCAAGACATACGGCATGCCACATCCCGACCAGAAGGAGCTGGAGGGTGTCATGAGTCCACGCCTGTCCTCCGTGCGACGGACCCATCATTTATTGAAGCCTTGGCAACGACGCTTGAATTTTGCGGTCTGTTTGGAAAGATAGACCCGACTGCGGGACACCACCAATTGGACTTGTTCAACAAGAACTTGGGCCATACGTCCAGCCTGTCCCCTTTCCACCAGTCGGCTGGGACTCCAGGATCTTGCCAGATCAGTGTGCAAGTCTATTCACCTGGTTACCCCAAAAGCGGCCACCGCTGCTGGCTGCTGTTGTGTGTTTCGGCTTCGAAGTGCCTGAGATCAGTCTGGGCTGTTCCGGCACACTAGCACCTGCACCGGCAAGAACCAAACGATTCGATGCAAAGCTAAAGAACCCGAGGGCCACAAGCGGCAGGTGTCCACCAGCAACTCACGCGAGGGCCCCTCATGCCTCAAGCTCCACTTTCGTTGCAAGATTGCACGATGCCCCCCGCGGCATGCGCGCGGCCTGATTTTGTTCACGCTTCTATCTTGCTGCTAGTCGATTGGCGGCCCCCCGCAACTCCAGTGCCCAGCAACTCCCAGGTTGAGCGAGACCGTGTGGGACTGTTGGGGCTCGCCACAGAATAGCTCTTGGAACCACGGGCGCTTGCGATGAGCGGACAGAAGGACAGGAGTGATCAAAATGCTCCTGAAAAAGAAGAAAGGACAGACTTTGCGAGGCTTGTGAAATGAATCGCTGTTCATTTGTAACTCCTCGCCAATCAGCCGACCCATGGACAATGTATATCGATGTCTTCAGCCACAAACAAGGGCCGTACGGTTGGACTGCCTCTCACGCTCGGCACTCGAGGGTGAGATGGGACCGAACGGGCACCTATTTCTTGCCCTTCAGCTTGGCCCGAGCCGCGTGGATCATCTGCTCCTTCTGAATGAGATGACCTCAGCGCACGGAAAGCTTCTCTGATGCCCTAGACACTTGGCGACGTCGCTGTGCGGGCATATCCCCGTCGCCATCCTCTAGATTCTAGCAAGAAGAATACCGCAAAGCCTGATTGGTGACCGCCCTATTCAAACAAAGTACTTTGCACAATCTCATCAGCCTGTATTAGCTCGTCAGAGCCGGCAGCGATCAATCTGAATCGCCAGGAAAACTCCACTGACAACATCATCCACCACGCCGGGTCAAGGTGACAATTCACACAAACATTGCCCGGGTGCTACCATCACCCGATTGGCTAAGCAGAATACACAATCACATTTTGGCTGGGATGGGCTTGGAACACTGTAGCCGCCAGGCGAGTAGAGTGGCCTGTGCCGCCTATGTTGCGCACTTAGTCCTGTGGCAAGAAGTCCAAGGCCAAAAACGCTTGATTGGGATGGAGTTCATGGTTGCTTGGGCGCCGCAGGATCGCAACAGGCAATCGGCAAAAACAAGTGCGTGTGTGTGTGTGTGTGTGGGTGGGTGCGTGCGTGCGTGCGTGCGTGCGCGTGCGCGCGGGCGTGCGAGCGTGCGTGCGTGCGTGCGTGCGTGTGCGCGTGCGCGCGTGTATGCGCGTGTGCGCGTGTGCGCGTGTGTGCGTGTGTGCGCGTGTGTGCGCGTGTGTGCGCGTGTGTGCGCGTGTGTGCGCGTGTGTGCTTGTGGCGCGTGTGCGTGTGTGCGTGTGTGCGTGTGTGCGTGTGTGCGTGTGTGTGTGCGTGTGTGCGTGTGCGTGTGTGTGTGCGTGTGTGCGTGTGTGCGTGCGCGCGTGTGCGTGCGCGCGTGTGCGCGTGTGCGTGTGTGCGTGTGTGCGTGTGTGTGCGTGTGTGCGTGTGACCCTGTGTGCCTGTGTGCGTGTGTGCGTGTGTGCGTGTGTGTGCGTGTGTGCGTGTGTGCGTGTGTGCGTGCGTGCGTGCGCGTGCGTGTGCGTGCGTGTGCGTGCGTGTGCGTGCGTGTGCGTGCGTGTGCGTGCGCGTGCGTGCGTGCGTGCGTGCGTGCGCGTGCGTGCGCGTGCGTGCGCGTGCGTGCGCGTGCGTGCGCGTGAGCGTGCGGTGTGCGTGCGTGTGCGTGCGTGTGCGTGGTGTGCGTGTTGCGCGCGCACGCACGCACAGCGCCGCGCGTGCGTGGTAGCGGTGCGTGTGCGCGTGCGTGTGCGCGTGCGGGTGCGCGTGCGTGTGCGCGTGCGTGTGCGCGTGCGTGCGTGTGCGTGCGTGTGCGTGCGTGTGCGTGCGTGTGCGGGTGTGCGCGCGGGTGTGTGCGCGGGTGTGTGCGCGGGTGTGTGCGCGGGTGTGTGCGCGGGTGTGTGCGCGGGTGTGTGCGCGGGCGTGTGCGCGTGCGCGTGCGTGCGTGCGCGTGCGCGCGTGCGCGTGCGCGTGCGCGTGCGCGCGTGCGCGTGCGCGTGCGCGTGCGCGTGCGCGTGCGCGTGTGCGTGCGCGTGTGCGTGCGCGTGTGCGCGTGTGCGTGCGTGCGCGTGTGCGTGTGCGTGTGCGTGTGTGCGTGTGCGTGTGCGTGCGTGTGCGTGTGCGTGTGCGTGTGTGTGTGCGTGTGCGTGTGCGTGTGTGTGTGTGTGTGTGCGTGTGTGTGTGTGTGTGTGCACGTTTGTGCGTTTGTGCGTGTGTGCGTGTGTGCGTGTGTGTGTGCGTGTGTGCGTGTGTGCGTGTGTGTGCGTGTGTGTGTGCGTGATTGTGTGTGTGTGTGAATGTGTGTGTGATTGTGCGTGTGTGATTGTGTGTGTGTGTGATTGTGTGTGTGATTGTGCGTGTGATTGTGTGTGTGTGTGATTGTGTGTGTGTGATTGTGTGTGTGTGTGATTGTGTGTGTGTGATTGTGTGTGTGTGTGATTGTGTGTGTGTGAGTGTGTGTGATTGTGTGATTGTGTGTGATTGTGTGTGATTGTGTGTGATTGTGTGTGATTGTGTGTGTGTGATTGTGTGTGTGATTGTGTGTGTGTGTGATTGTGTGTGTGTGATTGTGTGTGTGATTGTGTGTGTGATTGTGTGTGTGATTGTGTGTGTGATTATGTGTGTGATTGTGTGTGTGTGTGATTGCGTGTGTGTGATTGTGTGTGTGATAGTGTGTGTGATTGTGTGTGTGTGATTGTGTGTGTGATTGTGTGTGTGATTGTGTGTTTGATTGTGTGTGTGATTGTGTGTGTGTGATTGTGTGTGTGATAGTGTGTGTGTGTGTGATTGTGTGTGTGATTGTGTGTGTTGATTGTGTGTGTGATTGTGTGTGTGATTGTGTGTGTGATTGTGTGTGTGTGTGTGTGTGAGTGAGTGAGTGAGTGAGTGAGTGAGTGAGTGAGTGAGTGAGTGAGTGAGTGTGTGTGTGTGAGTGCGTGGTTCTCATCATGCACCATTTTGCCCACATGCAAACGCTCCCGCTCCTGCTTTGAGTGGCTTGCTAACGCTGCATTTTCCAGAGCGGTTCGAAGGGAAGTTGGCAAACGAAACTTGCACCGAAATCACGTGAACCCTCACGTCGTAAATGTGACCTTGTATTCACTTGACAACAAAAAGGCAGCATGTGACGAAATAGTACTCAAAGGTCAAATAGCTGTGCCGTGGTTTTGTGTTTTGTATCCCGTGTTTGCTCGACATCGATCGCAAACAACTGATGTGGAGCGCACGCCATCAGCCTCAAAGGTGCCATCCCAGTCCGAGCGGCTGGTATTTTCCACCAAGTCCAGCATCTTTGTAATGCTATCAGACCTGGAGGGGCCAGAGGAAGTGTCAAACATCTTTCAGCACCTGGAAGATGAGTTTGTTGCACCGTTGGCAATCAGTATCAATGGCTTGGCAAGAGCACAGCAGCCTGGAAAGCTGTGGTACAAAAAGAAAAAAAACAGTGCTGGCACGTCGGCAAATGGTTGTAGCTTCCACAAATAGCTCGAAAAAGGAACACGGCAAAATGACTGCACAGGCTGCTGAGACCGGTAATTGTTTGGGCATTCAGGCCAAAGATAAGATAAGATTTCGAAATCCTGCGTGCCACTGGCACGGCAATCAAATGAATCTAGTTAATCAAGTGACCGGTTTCATAAGACTTCTTACTAAGCAAATCCATGATCTCAGCAGCCATGGACTGAGACGGCTCGGCATCTTCCAGCAATCCGATGCCTTCCCAACGTCTCTCGCTCTTTCTCTCTGGGCCGCCGAGCCAGCCGTTGAGACGGTCGGTGTAGGTCTGTTTCTTACCTCAAAAATTCTCTTGCTGGCAACATGCTGAACACGAGGGAAGCGAAAAAACGGGAGGAGGGAGAGGCAGCCAAAACGCTCTTGGCACTGGGCACAGCCGACATGTACTCTTGAGTGTTCAAGGCCCAGGACAAGGCATGCTTCTCACAGCCTCGGGAATGACCTGCACCTGCATCCTTTGGTGGAAAGAGGCATGGCACATGTGACCAAAACGATGAAGGCAAGTGACAGGATGGGCATGCTGCCCGCCATTCCAAGCCTGCTACCAAGCAAAAAGTCACAGATATGCACTGACTGCGCTTGGTTCACTCAACACATTGTTGCCTTGCTTTCTAAGTTTGCAAGTTGTTGGCGAGGAACCCCACTGCCATGATCTAAGACCCCGGACCGAATTTGATGGTGCCCGCAGGGCGGTCGATTCTGGCGTACACGAACCTCGAAAGGGCACCCAGTATGAGTCAGTGGCCCTGCCCACGAGCTGGACCGCTTACAAGCTAGATCCATTGGCACGCACCACCGGCACTTGGCTGTGGGT